ATATCATATCTCATTCAATATGCATCCGCATAAGTAATTCAAAATATAGAACAACAGAGCTCAAATAAATCAGCAGAATACTAATAAACATACACATAAATTAGTGATTTCCGTAAACGTTTTCTTCTATCAGGTTAATAATAAATTTCAAACATACATACATATATATATATATATATACACTCAAATTTTGCACAAGCATCATGCAACAAGAATGGCTAGACATGGCCTGTAAATAATGAAGCGATATAGCACACTGCACATCAAATAACAGGTAACTGTAAATCAAGGTGATTAGGGGCAAAGAGTTGTAAAAGGCTCATCACAAATCCGAGTGAAAACATACAGACAGGCCGATGAATGGGGCCTTTGGGTATGGTATAGTTACTTCCTGATCCCGAGTTCTTTTGATATCTCTCTCGTCAGGCTGAATTGTGAAGTGCCGTGCCATGGAAATAAGGTCCGAGTAACTGGAAGTTTCCTCCGAAGATCCTGCATTGCATATAACATGAAGAATACGCTAAATGGTACACAACAGGAGGGGATCTAATGGTGAAATAAGAATCAACAAATGGTATAAATTCAAAAGGCTTCCTCACAACTTTTGGCAGAAAGAATATTAAAACATACCTTGAAAGTGGTATCTGGTAAATTCAAATAGGACTTCTGCATTATGCCAAGACTGTCAGTATTGAATTCTAGAAAACTAGAGGAACTGAAAATAACCAGTCATTGAAAACAACCTCAAGAGATGCCAGGTACTCTGTCTCATGGTGGCGAATTATGCTTTCTATGGCAATTGCACTATCATCGGGGGCCTGAAACAAACAGAAAAAAAGTATTAACCGTATGAAGCCAAAACCAATATCGTTTTTTTAGCGCAAAGGCCAGAAGCCACTAAGCCAACAAATCACAAACTTCCACCGTAAATAATAACTACTACCTTTCACATGCTCTCACATTGGAATCTTTGCTCAAGAATATTACCATCCTCATATGATATACCAAAATGGTTATCCGGGATATAAAATTTGTCAAAAGGGAAAAGAAAGAACTTCAAGTTCTATTGGAAGAAAGAATGAACCAAAGGAGAACACTAGGTGAACAGGAGGAAAAAATAAAATTAAAAAAAGCTCGTCATTTGGAAGTAACCTGAAACATTGTAGAATCTCTACATTCATGCTTTGCATCTAATTGCACATTTCCCTCTTCAAAATAGTGTGCACCCACCTGGAAATAGAAAGAACTGACTTATTATAGGTTTATGAAACTTTAAGTGAATTTAGATATGAAAAGCAGGAAGAACAGGAGGACAAGCTTGATTCTCACTTGTAAATAATCCAAGGAAAATGACTAGTACAGGAGGAACGACTGAAGAAACTAAAGAAATGAGAACACAAATATGCCATGCACTACATGAAAAATATTGTAATACCTGAAATTTGCCTTTTAATTCCAGAACTTGAACATCATCTATGAATTCAATGTTCCATACTGACCGCCAACTTCCATTACTGTACAAAAAGCCAAAAACCATTTTTAGAAGATAAACAACTATGATCATTACTAGAAGCTAGTAAAAATAGTAGTCAATCATACGATCATGCAACTGCAGTAGAATAGTTACTACTACATTGTGGTCTAACAAATCTTACCCACCAGAAATTTTGTGGGCTGAGTCTAGCGGCAGAAATCACTACAACAAGCTCAAAATCAGATCCAGGTCCCTCCACATCTTTTCCATTAACACAGTAAACTGAATAAGAACCTTTTGGATAAGCTTCCCCAACATATTTCAGCATTTCTGCTTCCAGTGCACATCTGTACACCAAAAAAAGGAATTAATTACAAGTAGTAATTAAAGTAGTGCATGGTGAAGTGTGCCCTAATTCCAGCAATAAACTATCATTTTTTCTTTTTATGAGCTCTAAAAGAAAGCAAGAGCAGGTGATACAAATAAAAAGTATGGATTTCTCTCTTCATGATGCGTGCTGGTTTCGGCAATAATGATGAAAACCCTAATGGGTAGATAACTATTTCCTTATCAATCAAACTTCTTGAACATATCAATGGCAGTGAAATAAAATATACATGTTCATGTGCCTGGGTGAATCCTGAGTATCAATCCGGGCAGCGAGTCAGTCAAAACCCATCTAAAGCAGAAAGATGAAAGCCTGAAACCTTAGGCTCCAAGACTTTAAGAGACATTATTCCCATCCTAACAAGTAAGCCAAGGACCAATGGTAACAAAAAGCTACACGTTTGGAACTGGACAGAGGACACTGTGTCATACAAGCAGTGGTTTCGAACCAAATCATTTATATTTCAGTAGGAACTTGAGATATAGGATTTTGCAAATTTGAGCTAGCTACAGCTGGTAAACTAGACCTATGGAGAAGCTAATCAACTACATTAGATTTCAGAGAGATGCTTCTATTAGTTCATCAGAAATCAATTAAAGATACTATACATCCACCACAGTTGTAAAAACATACCGGTATTCCTCAATATATGGAGTGGGAAGCTCCTCATCAGTGGCAGGTCTAACCTCTGTACAAACCTGATCCAATTTAGCACAACATGATATGAACATTTAAACTAAATCATACACATTAATCAGTAAGTTTCACATACAAAGGGTCATCCCCATCCTATAATCCACTTACCATTAAAAAAATGCAAATTCAGGAAATGATATTAGTGAAAGGTTGTCTGATATCAAACAGACATGATCAACAATATGTATAAGGCTAAAAGGTACCTGTTTGACATGATCAACAATGGCAACTTGGGCAGTCTTGGGGTCTAGATACTCATTATCCCGAAGCTCCCCATATTGTGTAACCAGAACCTAAAATTCAATAGGAGAAAAACATTGCAACAATTAGCTTTGTTTTAAAATCAAATTCACAGGAATCAGTGTCTCAACTAGCAGAACCGATATTGAAACTATCCTCATATTTGAATATTTGATAAGAATAACAAGCAAACATGAGTAATAGAGTTAATTGGATGACTAATGGACCTTTTTTTTTGAAAAGTGATGACCAATGGATCATAACCAAGTGAAAAAGACAATATTAAAAAAGAAGCATATTAAACACAATGATGGATACTCACTGCACTAGCAGTCAATCAAGGCACTCTAAAATGTCATATAAACCTCCAGCATTCAGAATGACTTACCACAATTAACCGATTAAGCTCGAGTTTGTATTTATCACACGTAATCAAACTTAAACTACACGAAGAGGCAACAACAGTTCTAGGAAAAACAATATAAACGAAATGAACTAAACAAAAGCTGTTCCAACTTTCTAGCAATCTTACTTATATCAAGAACCCTCAGCAGCTGAAAATGCTGGAAAACTAACCAACTTGCAACTGGAATGACTTAATTTTACTAGAAATATAACTTTGAGCTACAAATATTTAACACTTAAAACAAATTATACTGGTTTCTAAGACTTACATCGCCAAATCTACCAGGCATTTCGAGGCAAATCCTGTGAGATTTGTTGTAAACGGGAAATGCCTCCGATGCCGCTTCATCGTACACATCGTCATCATTCAAAACCGATTTTAAATCTGGAAAAAGAATAAACAAATTAAAAATCGAAAAGAAAGCAGCTAAATGCAAATAGAACGATAAATCGAACGTGGATCCAGAAAACAAGAAAGATAGTAGAACTAATTCATCAAACCGATCAATCAGAAAAGAGAAAACACAAAACCGGCAAGCGAAGCAGGAAACGCAACGCTTTAAAACAACATTGGAGAGATGGAGAGAGAGAGACCTTTGGCGACGTATTGAATTTCGCCAGCCGGAGCGTTGAGGAGGAACCATTTGGCGATCTCTTTCTTTTGCTTGTCGCTTAGCTCTGTTTCTTGTTCTGCCATAACTTTCTTTCTTGCTATCTAAAAAGAAAAGTTTAAAAGGAAAAAAAAAGGCAGATTAAGTGGTTGAGAGGAGGGAAAGCAGAGGGAGGAAAATGAAAAAGAGAACTAAGATCTGTAAAGCTTACTATTACTGGTCTGTGAAACCAGCAGTGACTATTCAAGAAACAGTCAAATAAAAGGAAAAAAAAACCTGTGGGGTTATAGCTCTTGAAAAAAAATGATTTTTCTATTTTATTTGATTCAGAAAAAAATTCAAATTGATTAAAATTGCAAATTAAAAATCAAAGGATTTATAAAATAAAATTTGAATATCTCAAAATTTTTAACAATTAGATAATTAATTTTTAAATTTGAGTCAATTATAATATATATATATATATATATATATATATTACATATAAAAATTTATGAAATACATATATTTACTATATATAGTTATAGAAAACCGTTTAAATTATATACAAATGGTACCGTAATAATATAAATATTTACAACTAAATTTAAACATAAACTTGATTCGACACAATTTTTTTTAAATAAAATTTGAATTATAAAATTAGACTCGTCAACTCGAATAATTTGAATTTTTTTAAACTAACTCAACTCGGCTCGATCGAACTCTCACCCTTAGTTGCAGTCATTCTAAACGACACCGTCTCGTTGGTTGAAATTGAAATAGCTTATCATAGACTTGTACAAGTCCGGGTTATCTGTTAATCTCAGAGATCTGGAGATGATTAAAGTTTTGAATAAAAACGTAGGTAAGTTATGGTAGTTGTAGCACATTTTTATATTAGTTACTATAATTTAAAAAATGACATTATAAGTACTACAGTTATCAATAAATAAAATAACTATTATGTCAAGTTAACAAAAAAAATATAGTTCATCAGTAGTCTCAATTTTCATACTCAATGATGAAAATGAATGTTGATTTCCCTAGAAGATTCAAATTCGAATAATTGTCTGTAAGATGTATTTACGTTGTTAGTAAATTAAAAAAATTGTAAACAAATATTACCTTTTAATTACTTCAAACTATTCAACAACTGGCAATCATGGTGATGAAAAAAGGGAGCCTTTGTACTAACAAATGGAAATGCAATCAGTATTGAAGAAAACTGGTTTTTACAATGCTCAACAATGGCATCAAATGACTCTGCTAAAACAATCGCACAATCTGTGAGATAGAGAAACAATTGACAACAAAACTTCAGGACCATCTTTAGGTATCTTCCTTTTAAATTTGTCTGTGCATCACTGCTTTCCACATCTCCATCGAGTATGCTCTATTGCAACCTACTCCAGCTAAAACATATCATCAAAATTCTTATCAAACCGTGTAGGAAAATAATGGTGTTCTTTCATATTAAAGACTCCTCAAAATATGATAAGGTGCCTCTACCATGATTAGTTAAGAAAAGGATCATTCTTACGTACAATGACAAGGGTTGACCAGGCAGATACTAGAAGCCATCCATGACTTTGATGCCAGCATTCTTGTCCCACACTTCTGGAGCAGCAACTTCTGCCATCACCTTTTCCTGACCACGCCAAAGGATCTGCACCCAAAACGGACGTCTCGTTTACATGTGAAAGATGAATTATGAACAAAAAGTTACTTGGAAGTGCGCTTACCTTGTCAATGACCCCAAACTCTTTAGCTCTGTTAGCATCCATATAAAATGGTCTTCTCATCACATTGGCTACTGTCTCCACAGACTAATGGAATATAGTCATACAATGACAATGAGTACCTTTGTTTTACAAAATTTTGTATACAACAATAAAAAACATTGATCCATTGCACTCACATTTCCAGTGTGCTTAGCAAGAAGTTCAACAAGTGCGTCCCTGTTTGTTATTGCCTGCAAAACAAAGATGCAGTCTACTAGATTCGCAATACATCTTGGATTTATAATTGCAACCTCATAAAAAAGGATATCAAAGCTTTAAAGCAGAGCTCAGGACCAAACCTCTTTGGCACGTATAAGAACATCACTTGCAGGCATCAAGCCAGAGGATGGGACACGAGGCTGTTGGATCATAGCTGAAACAGAATATGAGCAAACACTAAGGATATAGTCAGTTTACAATCACAGACAAGTAGCGAATCATACCTTTGGCATGAGGCATCATGAACCGATGTCCTTTAGTTCCAGCAGAAAGTAAGAGACAAGCCTGACCTACAGCTGCCCCCACAGCAACTGTATGTACCTGTATGATCGGTTACCAAGACCCAAGAAAAGTTAACCAGTAGGATCATCTCATCCTAGAACCTCTTTTCCTTCTTAAAAGGAAAAGCTCATGAGACAGGTAGAGGAAGTACATAGATATTCTTACTGAACTAAGGAGAACAAGACAATTTGATATCTTTGAAGAACAGAAATTTACCTCATTTTGTAACTGCATAAGTGCATCATAGATGGCAAAACCCTCAGTCTCCATCCCAACCTGCAGCAGAACCGCTTGTAAATCATGTGAATATCAAACTTAAAGAAAACAAACGCACCAAGGAACATAATACAAGTGTGAATAGCAAGCAGAAGAAGCTCCAACAAGGAAGAAGAAAATGATATTGTTAAAAGATTAAAGGTCATTCGGGTTCATATTATAGCCTTGTCCTTTTTCAAAATTATGATTCATTTAATCTACAGAAAGAAATACCGAAATCCAACTTTCAACACAACTTGGCTTACTTCTTGTCTTAAATGATATAGCATATGATTCTAACAAATCCAAAAGCTATATAATACAAATGCATCGCATCTCTTTGTTCAAAGCTCACCGTTTCACCATCATCACGAGTTGTTCCAGTAGAGTTTATGTAAAGATATATTGGCTGCTTGGGATCCATCCATTGAAGATACATTACCTCCGCAACTACAAGCTCGGTCACCGCAGGCACAAGCTGAAAGATAAAAAGACCGAAAACAATGGTCATCTCAAAACTCTAGCTAAATGCAGCAACATTGAAACTAGTAACTAAAAATGCCTACCGCAAAAAAAAATCAATCTCGTTCCTCAATTTTGAATTCCACAAGGCAAAGGCAATAAAACACCAAATAAAAATAATAATAATTAAACCCCTCAACTAAAATCACTTACCGGCATGCCAATGTAAACAATTCTCCCGTGAAGAAGCAACGAAGGTAAGTCCGGTGGAGGGCTTTTCGGCCTATGTTCATTGTACGACACTGATCTTTCCACCTAATCCAGTTCCAAATTTCCAATAAGTGATTGATTCGCATTATTCCGACTAATTCAACTTTAAAAACCACTCGAATAATTAAAATCATAATCTAATCGCATTCGAAACTTCTCACGTTATCGTTAATTACACTTACTTGAGCAGGAGTAGCCATGAGCTTAGGAGAGTCAAACAAATCCAAATACGGCGGCGTATCGGGATTAACCGGACGGTTAAGAATCGTCTCGGGGGAAGAAGCGACAACAGAAGCGAGCTTCGAAAGAAACGGATCCTTAGGGTTTATCGGAGGAATGGGCAATTTGGCAGCGTTTTGGGCGACGAAAGCGCGGCAACAACTGAGCTTCGTGGTCTTTGGCCTACGAACGGATTGGGAAGAAACTGAAGGCGGGATTGAGTAAGCCATTGGTGCGTGCAAGAAACTCGACATGATTTTTCTTGTAAGGTTTGAATCAGCCTCCGTTCCCTGATGTGGAGTTCGAAAGATGCTTGTAACGAGCTTCAATCTGTTAAGTGGAAGTGTGGAAAAGTAGGTCGGGTCGAAAATGACCCGAGAAGATCCACTAATTTGGACGGATTTAGGCCATTGTTTGGGCTTAAGTTATGTCTCTCATTTACCGACCAAGAAAAATAATCGGAGATTAGTAAGATTCGATTATATTTCTAACTCAATTTAATTTTAAAAAATTTAACATATAATTTTATATTCTCGACTCAAAAGAATTTAAAAATTAAATCAAGTTAAAAAATAGAATCTAAATAATTTAAATGGTTGATTGAATAATTCAAATTTTTAGTAATTTTCTTTTTGTTAACAAAAAGATGATTACACAGTTAATCGATTACTTCTTTCAAATAATTTTTTTATTTAAATTGAGTCCTTTAATTCTATATGTGATGTGATATATATACATATCACATATAAGAAAATATAAATATTATATATGATAATAAAATATTGTTTAAATTAAAAATCTAATAATATTATAATATTATAAATATTTATAATAAAATAAAACATAAACTCGAAAAATTTAAGTCTAAAAAATATATAAAATATTGGAGGAAATCACTCTTCCTTTAAATTTTTTATGTTTTTTTATTAATGATTTAATTTTATATTTTTAAAATGTTTTACTTTAATTTTTTAAAAGGTAAAAGTATAATCAAAACCAAATGATTTCAATAAAAAATGGCTTTCCCTTGTTCCCATACGTAATGGAATAAGGGGAGGTAAGATAGTAGGTTGTCCCCAACACTAGATTGAGAGTAACTTCCGTAGGAGACTTCCGAATTATAAAATACTCTCCATGAGACTCGATCTCACAACCGGTTAACAGGTTAGCAGAAAACAGGTCATCAACCCCCAAAACAGATTCAAAGCCAATTCAACTCCTCAATGGCTCCATTTCAATCTTCTGCTCTCCAAACACCTTGGCGATCTTTTCGGTAGGTACCAAGGGCAAATACGAGGCGACCTTGTACCCTTTCTCGGCACTGCTAACCACCGTCTGGTTATACTTGCCCGTGCAATACGTGGCTGTAGGGATGACGACCGAGGCTACTTGAGGGAAGAGAGGGAGTTTGTGGAGTTTACGCCAAGCCGAAACAGCACATTGTTCAGCTTTGGGTTCATACTTTGCATAAAGCTCTTTTGCTGTGGGTTCATACTTGGTGTACACGAATTTTGCATATACTGAGGCAGTGCTCACCACTCCAGTAAGGTGGACTTCAGAAGCCACGCAACGAGCCACTTTCGGAGCCTTTTGGGCAGCTGAAATGGCTTCGGACGAGACCTGTTTGACACATGGCGGGACTCGACGATCTAGTTCGGTTATATATTCACCAACCTGCAATAACAACAAAGAATCAGTATTTGGGTACTAGAGCTGTCAAATAGGCTTCATTAGGATCGAGTCGATTTGGATCAAATCAATCCCAGCTTCAAATGTTCAAATCATTTCCGTTTATATTATAAAATTTTCAAATAATTCCGGATTAGAATCGTTTAAGATTTAATTCATTTCGAGTTTGGTTATTTAGTTGTAGACATTTGACAACTCTCAATCAATAGATTCAAATCATTTCATATTGGAGTCATTTTCAGCTAATATGTTTAAATTTAAATTTTCTCCGATTAATTATTTATTTTAATAATTGTATCCATCTGAAATTTTATTTGCATATATACCGTGTAATATAGAAGTTTTATATGTTTATGTAAGTGTGACTATCCTCAAAAATATTTATAGATCTACCATGATCGTTAGATTATTTGATTCAAAACTTCTTCCAAATTGTAAGACATCATAAATTTTGAATGGCATTTTCCATATGACAATCAACGATTTGCAATTTTGCATTTCAAGCTACATAGTCACAATATACTCATCGTCATTAAAATCAAGGACGAAGCAAATAGATTACCTTGGTATCGACGAATTTAAGAAGCTCGATTGGGACATCATGGTACTTGTCGTAAACCGGTCGGACCACGGTCTTAACCGTCTCCTCCACGGATTCGACGCCAGGTTTGAAAGGTCCCGATCTTTCCTTAGCGTAAAGGTAAAGATTGGCGAAGCACAAAGCGGCGTGGACAGCAGCTACTTGCACGAATTCCAAGTATTTCAACCTCTGTTCTTGTTCATCTTTAGCCTTTCAAATTCAAATCAAAACAATAGAAGAAAAAAAGATCAATAAAAACGAAATTGAATTAAATTTTGATGACACAAGCAAAAAGAATAATAGATCTTTAATGGAAATACCATGTCTTGTTGGAAGTCGGAGTTTCCTTGAGCCATGAAACGAACTTGAGACTATATTCTTCTTTCTTTTTCTTTCGAAGAGTGATTGGAGAAGAAATCAAAGGGATTGGTTCAGCGTTGAATTGAGGGAGAAAAGATAGTGAAGGGGGGTGGGGGTTAGAGGGCAGATTTAGATGAGCAGCGGAGATTAAGAAGCGGTTATGAAACGTGTCGGTCAGCTAGTATAGGGCGTTTTCCTTGCGGTACAATCCGATGCGTTTGAACGTTTAAGGGTTCTTACGGGGTAAGTTATCGTATCTTTGGCAGTACCGTCCAACATTTATATTAATGTATTTAAAAAACAACATTTGTATTCATGTAACTGTACTTTTTTATATTTTTATTAATATTATAAAATTAAATATTTATGTTGATGAATTTAACACAGGTTACTGATTATGTGTTCGTCAACATAAATATTTAATTTTTCCGAGTCGAGTGATGTTTTTGTTCGAAGTTGATTTGAATTTTTTCGAGTTGAGTGAAGTTTATAAATTTCGAATCAAATTTTTGAGTTTTTGTTTAAATTTAATTGTTAAATATTTATAATATTATGATGTTATTTATCCTAATTTAAGTGGTTTTTTTAAGACCATATACAATACATATATATTTCTTCATATTTTTTTATATATGATATAAATATATCGTACATAATCGAGGAACTCAAACTTAAAAATCAACCCACTAATTACTAAAACTTTTGAGTTATTTGAGTTCCTATTCAAATGTTTTGAAATACAACTCAATTTAAACTTAATTTTTTTCGAGTCTAGTTCATAAAATTACAACTCTAATTCAATTCGACTCAAGTTTTCTCTAATCAAGTTGAAAAAAATTATTTTTAAATCAAATTTTACTCACCCTAATAATTATATCTTCATCTAATGCAATCGTTTTTGGATCTAATATTATAATCTTCTTTATATCCTTGATCGTGTTGAGCAAATGTGCCAAATCTATGGAAATATATGATATATTTTATTAAGAAATCAATAAAATAAACCATAAATACTTATAAGTACCAAGTAAAACGTAAAACAAATCCAAATTATAACATAGCAAATTAACTCTCGGAAATCAATGGCTCCATTTCATTCCTCTGCTCACTGAAAACTTTGGCAATCTTCTCAGTAGGAAGGGCAAATACGAGGAGGCAACCTTGTACCCTTTCTCTGCACCGCCGACCACCATCCTGTTATACTTGTCGGTGCAATATGCCGCTGTCGGGACGACAACGGACGCGACATGAGGGAAGAGAGGGAGTTCACTGAGTCTACGCCAAGCTGAAACCGCGCATTGTTCGGCTTTGGATTCACACTTTGCATAAGGCTCTTTTGTTGTGGGTTCGTACTCGGCGTACACGGATTTGCATATCCTGAGGCCGTGTTTTCCACCCCGGCATGGCGCCTGACGGACATCGGAAGCCACGCTGTGAGCCACCTCGGGAGCCTTTTTGGCGGCCAAGATGGCTTCGGAGGAGACCTGTTTGATGACCGGCTGGACTCGACGATCAAGCTTGGTTACAGATTCATCAAGCTGTGCAATAAACAACAACAAATCAGTCTTTGGGTACTAATTTTAGTTGTCAATCGAACAATTTACCAAAAATAGTAAATTATTTGTACATTTCAAATTTGAATCATTTACACATTGTTGTAAATCATAATAATAATTTAGATTCTAATCCTTCCGTATTTAATGTTAGAGATTGAATTATTTGAAATTTAATATTTAAGATCAAATTATTTGGGATTGGAATGAAACAAAGGGATTATTTACCTTGGTATCAACGAATTTAAGGAGCTCAACGGGGACACCATGATATTGATCGTAAACCGGTCGGACCACGCTCTTAACGGTTCCCTTGAAGGTCTCGACGCCGGGCTTCAACGGTCACGATCTTTCCTTAGCGTAGGGGTAAAGATGGGTGAAAGACAAAGCAATTAATTGTTAGGAAAGAAAAAATTTAATTAATTTTAAATAAAAATAAAAAACCCAAAACAATTAAATAAAATATAATCCTAAAATCGTTAGGAAAGAAAATAAAATCTATTTCGTTTATGTTCATTTATTGTGTTCGTTTGCGTTCGTTTATTATGTTCGTTTATCATTTAAATGAACGAACATGAACGAACACGAATAAACTACATTTCTTAACGAACGAACAAGAAATTTTTTGTTCGTTTATGTTCGTGTTCGTTCATTTATTCAGTTAAACTTAAACGAAAGAACATGAACATACCCACATTCGTGTTCGATCGGTTCGTTTACAGGCCTAGTAACGCCCAACGACGGGAAAACGTTGGTCAAAGGGTCACATTAGGTTTGGTTTTTTGAGTTGAAGGGTCACATTTAGAGAAAAACTAATTTAAGGACCACATTGATTTTTTTAAAAATATAAAGACCTTTGATGCTTTTTTATCTTGAAATAAATACATGTAAAAAATCAGCACCAACTTCGATTAAACTTAGAGCTGGGTATATGGGCTAAGGCCCGCGGGCTACCTGTTTAACTCGCGACCCGTGCGGGTTTCGGGCCTCAAAAAATTGAAGATCGTTTAAATTGCAGGCTTTTTAGCTCGGACCGTTAAACCCGCGGGTTTAATGGGTATAACCGCGGCCTACCCGCTAAAGCCCTCTTAATTTAAAATTCATAAAATTTTAGATAAAATAAACTTAAAGAATTTTATAGAAAAAGAAAATAAATTACCAATAAATATGATGTTACTTATAGTTATTGTAGTTCTTAAATTTATTAGGGCGTTTTTCATAATTTTACCACTACTTTATATTTTTTTCATTTAAATATACATCATTATCATTTTGGTATTTAAAGATTTTTTTAAATTTAATTTTGACATTTATTTTTTTCATGAAGTATATTATCCATTTTGTTCTTTAATTATAAAAAGTCACGTGATATTCTAATAATATATCACATGACACGTAATATTTGGATTAAAAATAAGAAAGAAAAGTAAAAGAAAAAATTGAAAACATACTTTTCAACTTTTAAAGACTTTTACAAAATAAATATATTTTAACAAATTAATGACTTATATTTTATCAATTTTAGTATAACTGTATCTTTCAAATTTACTCTTATACTGTAAGGATTTTATTTTATATTTTCATATTATGTTTTAGTCTTTCTCTAAAGTATCCATAAAATACAATTATTAGGACCACTTAACAACTTTCTTGTTAGATTTGTATAATGTTTGACTTTTTTGAATTTTTATGTTTGAATTTCTGCTTTTAGAATTCAGACACTTCTGTGTCTTCATATTATAGCCTTGAATAATTGTGTTTTATAAAAGTGTAATGTGGTTATTATTTTATTTGTTTTTTAATTTGGTGATATAAGTGAATATTGTTTTTTTAATTTGAGTTTAAGTAATTATATCATTATATATATATATATATTAATGATTAAAAAATTTAAAAAAATATTATTTTATAATCATTTACGGTTATTTAAAATAAAAATTAAATATTATTTATTATTTTGACGGTGCTACTATCCTTTTCAAGTTGCTCGATCATTTTTAAAGGTGTAGTAAGTTAAAACATTATTTTTTATTGCATTTAAAATTATTTTTATTAAACGGGCCGCGGGTAAGCCCGTTTAGCCCGCGGGTTAAATGGACAGGTCGTGGGCCTTAAAATTCAAAACCGTTTATGAATGCGGGCTTTTTAGCCCGCTCCGTTTAAACCCGCACCGTCAAAACCCGCGGACTAAACGGACGGGTAACCCGTATACCCACCTCTAATTAAACTTGAAACCAAGTGCAGCATAGGATTCCTTTTAATCTTTCTATATAGTTTTTTGTATTTTAGTTTTATGTACATTCATTTACATGACTCCAATTCTCCTGTATTGGGCATAACTTTTATGTAGTATTAATGAATTAAAAAAAATAATATATATATTATCATTTGATCTATCCATCGTGTATAAAATATCAAATATTATTGTGGATGAATGTTATACTAATTTAATGTTTCATGTTATATTCATCACGATATATATATTGATTTAAAAAGTTAATAGTACGTATCGTATAATTAGATTCAGTTTTATGATAATTTCTTGTTACAATAAAAATGTTCTCGGAACAATATGTCAAATAGAGATCGTGATATTATTAGTAGTTGTTAGGTTTTTTAAAAGATGAACATGTATTCAAGAAAATGTTTCGATTTTATTTTCTTCACGTTTAAGTTTTCATAATAAGATTGTGCTAGTTTAGTTGTACCTTGTCTTCCTATTTAATAAAAATCTATTTTTTTTCTTTTAAAAATATCATAAAACACATTATATTTTAAGTAGATCTGTAAATTAGAGGAGACGGATTGTGAGATACTTGAACTCAATTCGGTTAAAATTTGATAAATATTTGACTCGAGCTCGAACTCAACTCGAGTTCTTAATAAGTTGAAATGAGCTACTCGATACTCGACTCAAAATGCTAAATTAAATTATTAATAACATTATTTAACATTCATGTATTGATTTTTTTAAACGTAGTATAAGGTTTTCATGACTTGATGTTAGATTCAAGTTTGAGCTTCAGCCGAGTTAATTTAAGATTTCCTTTATTTCAAGCTTTGATTCATGATTTCGAGTTAGATTCGAGTTTAAAAATTTTAAACTTTTGATCTTTCGAGCCAACTGAAACTCCATTTTAAAGTTTTTGAGTCGAGTCGGACTAAAAAATACTCGAACTCTACTCGACTTGTTTACAACCGTAATTGTGATCGAGATAATTCAGGTTCAAAATTTAACTCCTTTTGACATTATGAATAAATAACCTTAAATCCTAAATATAAACTATAAAATAAACATGAGATATACCAAAAGTAATGTTGACTCATTTTTGTTATGATATTTTCTTAGGTAAAATGTGTACATCCCACAATCCTCCATTGCAGTACTGCCAAAAGAAAAAGAATTGGAAGGTATTAAAGTTTGGTCCTGTTTGGAACTTATTGTTGTTGACGATGGGCTCCACTCTTTCAGTTATGTCATGTGCTGTGAGATTTATGACAGCACAATGCCAACTAGCGGATCTTATTTTTACATAAAATTTAATCTGGTTTTAGTGAAATTGCATGTAATAAAACCTGTTGGTCTCATTCTCTCAGTGCAGATAAGGGCAGTTTTTTAGTCTAATACGGTAAACTCAGATTGTGAAAATGAATCCTCACTTGCATGTCTTCTGTTAGTGAGGCACTTGGGGATCTTAACAGAATAGTTTCGAGTTCAAGTCATTCTAATTGTTGGTATTTTATGACTAAATCATGTTGAATTGAGTTTTAATTTGGATTAATCGATTCAGATTTTTAAGTTCAGGTCATAATTAATAAATTTGATTCGAATATATATATTCATACCAAATAAGATTTGGCTGGCATAAGGCTAATGACGGATCCACCAAGTCCTAGGGTAGGTTAATACTTACCATAAAATCTGATTTTTCTTAGGAAATTACTTATTGATTGTTCTCAGTTTCTCACTTGAAAATTTATTTATGTCAATCTCATACAAAACTTTTAAGCATAATGCCAAAGATAGCTCTCGATGTTTATCAAAATGGTCATTTTGACTCATATTTTTTTTATCATTTTGCTCTCAATGTTACATTTTTTGACAAAAATACCCTTTAATGAATGAAAACTTTTAGTCAATAAATTATTAATGCTCCAAAATATGGGCTTAAAATGAAACATCATCGTAGGCTAAAAATACTCCAAAACAAAAGAATGATCGATGTTACTATTCGATCAAACGTTAGAAGATTTTTTACCTTTAAAATAAAATGTTAAGGGTCAAATACTCTAAAAAAAGGAATTTGAGGGCAAAATGATCGTTTTATAAACATTGGGCGCTAATTTTTTATTATATCAAAAAATTATGTTATTAATATATTTTTGGATTCACTGCTCATCAATACAATTTGCTTTGACATAAGAAAAGGGGAACACCATAACTAACACTTGAACTTAAAAACCTTATTTGGGTTTAAAGTGACAACACAAGCTTAATTCCAAAGAATAATTACTGAAAAATCAACATCAAAACACCACCAAACCATTGACACCAAGTCATCGAACCCTAGAACAAAAAACAAAGCCAAAAGTGGATCCATGAGGAAAAAAGCTTAAGAAAGAGACAAGTACTAAGAAGAAAAAAACAGTCCACTAGGTTCTCATAATGCAGCATTCAAGTCCCTACTTTTGGACTAGTAATGGCTTTAAATTTCATAATTCAAAGAATTGAAACATTACCACATGAGAAAGAAATGGACCATTTTTGAACCTTTCTCTCTCTCTCTTCTTTTAATGATGGGGTTGGAGAAGAAAACTTGTGCTTTCAAGTGTTAGGCAAGTCCAACAGAATAGGACCCTACAGGCATTTTTTAAGGTTTTATTTTAGGACCCTTTTATAGTGAACTTTAGATAAAAATGAACTTTGTCTAAATTTGTAGATTGAGATTTGATAGACTATACCTTTGTGGCTCATATTTCGGGGGGTTCGATCGAGTGGTAAAAAGTTCGATATTTGTGTCTAATGAGGGTAATAGAAGAGGATAAAAGTGACATTTAAGGTTTAGGGTTTTACTAAAAGGAACAAAATGACCTACACCATTAAAAAGTGTTTTGCATGGCAATGGAGGATTTAAGAAGGTGAGAGAGCCAAAGGTGGTTCAGTTCAACAGCAACGGCCAGGATCAAAGGTTCCTTGGAGTAGCATTAAAGACTTTATCCAGGACCAAAATAAATGTTGTTTTCTTTCTTCTTTCATTGAGAGAAAAAAAGGGAAGTAGATTTATAAGCAAAAAAGCTAGATTGGTGCTTCGATGATTTGTGGTTGAGAAGAAAGGGGGAAAATGATGGGTTTTGGTTTTCGGATTGTTCACATGATTTTCATCATCATTTTCATATTGCAAAGCTCCAACATGTTGATTCTTGATGCTTTAATGGAGGACAATGTTGAGAAAGTTTCAGGCCAGGATGAGAATGAAGTTAAAGAAGCTTCATTTGTGCTCAAGTTTAGAGCTTTACTTGAACCCAAAAATGCCAAAATGAGAGCACTAAACGGTGCTGGTGAATGTCCCTCACCATCTCCTTCTCCATCACCTGACTTCGAAGCTGAGGTTTCAGTTCCAGCTACGGCTCCGTCTCCGGCTGTGTTGGAACATGCTGGTTTCCATGCTCGACCGCCTCGGTCGAACATGAAGCCACAGCCTTTTAAAATTCCTAAGAAAAGGGCTGATAAAGGAAGAGTTAAAAGAATTCTGGTGCCTGTCCTTGTATCTGCAGGGGCTGTTTCTCTAGCTTCTGTTCTTGGAGTCCTTTGTTTTTGTGGCAAAATCAATAAGTACAAGATGAAATCAATGCGAAAAGGGAGAATCAAAGGTAAATCCAAGTGTTTGAGTTCTCAAGATCGTAGCCTTGATCTCTTTTATCTTGATTCCATGGGAGTGAGCTTGGAGCAGCAACAAGCTTGTTTGAAACAAAGTGGTGAGACCGAGAAATCGTCACCAAATCGAAGCAACGACGACATCGGTGTGCGAGAATCCGGTGAAGATTGCAGTTATTCGACGAGGGAGATAAAATCGGTCCACGAAGACGTCGAATCGGGAAGATTTGGTTCTGATGGTGGGCAATGTTCACCTCACATTGAATGCCATTCATCTGATAAAGAATCTTTTCATTCCTTTGTTGATTCACATTCACCAAATGCTAGGCTTTCCAATGCTTCAGCTGTTAGTCTTAATGATGACACAAAGATATCACCCTCTCCTCCGCCACCTCCACCGCAACCTCCTCTGCCTCCCGTCGTGCGTGTGTCTCCTTTATACTCTTCCTTGCCTGCAATGACGACGACGACAGCGAGAAATTCGAGTCCTTCTACATTGCTCAATGAAACGTCTTCAAGGAGTTCACATTCCTCAATAGGACTAGTTGACAGCCCATTTTCTCCTCGAATACTTTCTCGTACGTTACCAAGTCCATCGAGTATTCCTCCGCCGCTGTGCCCGCCTCCGTTTCTTAAAGGTCCACCTCCCCCACCTGGACAATACTCATCAATAGGCAAAGATGGTGCTCCATTGCCAAAATTGAAGCCACTTCATTGGGACAAAGTGAGAGCTGCACCGGACCAGTCTATGGCATGGGACAAACTGCGATCGAGCTCATTCGAGTAAGTCATTTCGTATTACCTATTTCTGCATACAATTTATACCATTCTGATCTACTAACATGATCATCAAACAGATTGGATGAGGAAATGATCGAATCGCTTTTCAGATACGACATACAAAATCCGACGAAGAACGATGAAGCGAAAAGCAAAACCCCTTCTCCAAGTAAGCATGTACTTGAGCCCAAGAGATTGCAGAACATAACCATTCTCTTGAAAGCACTGAATGTGACATCTGAACAAGCCTGCAATGCATTGATGAAAGGTATAACTGTGAAAATTCCTTTATTTGTGAACAAATTTCCCATTAATCACTATTCATTCTTGATGAACACAAGCAGGAAATGGATTGGTTTTACAACAACTAGAAGCATTAGTGAAAATGGTACCCACCAAGGAAGAAGAGGATAAGCTCTATGGCTTCAAAGGAGATATCAACGATTTGGGGTCGGCCGAGCAGTTTGTTAAAGTGCTTCTAAGCGTTCCTTTCGCCTTCTTACGCGCTGAGGCGATGCTTTATCGCGAAACGTTCGACGACGAGGTGCTTCATCTTAAAAGCTCATTCTCAATGCTAGAGGTAAACGTCAAGCTATAATTCATATAATACATTTTGGTGAGACAAAAAGCATTAGTGAAAAATGTCATTGTTGTACTAGGAAGCCTGCAAGGAACTCAGATCAAACAGGCTCTTCTTAAAGCTACTCGAGGCGGTACTCAAAACCGGCAACCGAATGAATGTTGGCACGATTCGAGGCGGTGCGAGAGCGTTTAAGCTCGACACCCTCCTCAAGCTTGCCGATGTGAAAGGAACCGACGGGAAGACTACATTGCTCCATTTCGTCGTCCAAGAGATCGTTCGTTCCGAAGGAATACGAGTGTCCGATAGCATTATGGGGAAGATCAACCAACGAAACAATAACAGAACACCCGAAGAGAAGGAAGAAGATTACCGAAGGATGGGACTAGACCTGGTTTCGGGCTTAAGTACCGAACTTTACCACGTCAAGAAGACGGCGAAGGTCGATATCGATGTTCTCGCGAGTTCCGTCTCGAACCTATCTGATGGCAAGGCTAAACTACAGCATCTAGTTCGAGTGGAGCTATCGATGGACGAGAAAAGCGGGAGTTTCATTCGATCGATGAACTCCTTCCTGGACCATGCAGAGAAGAATCTAAAGGAGCTGGAAGAAGACGAACAAAAAGTCCTTTTACATGTGAGAGAAATCACAGAATATTTTCACGGTGATGTGAGCAAGGTAGACGAAGCAAATCCACTTAGGATATTCGTGATCGTAAGAGATTTTCTGGGAACTTTGGATCATGTTTGTAAAGTGTTTAGAAACTTGAAAGTACCAACTAGTCCAAGCCCCTTGGCTCCTTTTCGATAGGGTTTGATGTGTTTACTTGGTGTGTTAATAAAAAAAATTGTCGTGTCTTCATAGTAATTTTCAATCTGTTTAAAAAATTTCAACATATAAATCATGTATACAATGACCATTTTAATTTAAAGATCATATATATATATATATATATTGTAAGGAAATTTTCGATTTATACACAGGAAGACGATGACATAATCCTTTAAGAATTTTCCAAAACTCATAGAAGGCCGTTCTAAACCCGAATAACATTTACTGTATATTATAGAAATGCACAGCCAGTACCTTGAATCACAAGCAATGGGGTAAAAAAGGACTACTAACATTTACTCTAAAGCTTGTGCAAGAAAGGTGATGCTCTCTATCATAGGTCTAACAAAGAAGCCTATTATTTTCATCTCCTTTGGCACATTTGCTTGTTTCGCCCTTGATTTTATTCTTTTTATCTAATCATATTCAAAAATTTCATTTCTTGAGGAAGCAGTGGACTGAAATCAATCATTCCTTGAGAAACTACATCATTTATCATAATTTTGATAATTTACGGTTTAAAGAATAAGAAAGATTTTGAAATTATTATTTTGTTTAGGGGTTTATTTGTCCAAATTGATTGGAATTATTAAATACCTGAGAAAGAAAAAGGAATGACATTCTCGAGAAAACACCCAAAAAACGACACTATAAGAAATGCTCCATTATCCCATGAAGAGAATGCTCTTAAACTAAACGTGGATATGTGATTTCAGAAAATATTATTGCCCAACCAATCGACCCTTTTTAGGTTAGTTAAATTTACGAGTTTTTACTCAAATATACCCAAAAGTAAGCATTTAAAAGCAACCCGAACAAAATTAAACTTAATATGATCTAGACCCGAAATAAACCGACATAAAATGATCTGATCCAAACTCGATCCGAATGACCAGTTTGCCACCTCTACTTTTCTACCCTCATTGTCACCGGTTTGAAAGTCTCGTTGGGGGTGTTGGATGACCAAAAATGATTATCCCTTATTCCCATATGTAATGGGATAAGGGGAGGTAAGATAGTAGGCTGCCCCCAACACTAGGTCGAGAGTAGCTTCCGTAGGAAACCTCCAAATTATGAAATGCCCTCCATGGGACTCGATCACACGACCTCAAGGTTAAGAACCTTGTGCAACAATAAGGCACACTGTTTTAATTTTGGGCCTCCTTTTTGATCCTTTAGTTTTAGGGTTAATATGTTGCGATATGGGCTTGATGGGTAGTATACGGGCATGCTTGGTTGCTCTTTGCTTGCTCGTGCACTTAAAAACGGTTAAAAAGTTACGACAATGATTATAATTTATGAAGGTAAAATGTAAAGAAAAAAAGATTAATCTTTTTTTCCTTTTTGGGCCGATATCTCAAGGGAAAGTAATGCGAATCATGCACGATGATGATGAATTTTCACTCTCGAGATCCACCGTGTGCACGCAGTAACTAATTAGGGTTATAATGTGAAAAGTTTATTTTTTAGATAAATGTAAATTTATATATTAATTTTTACATAATCATGAGTATTTAATTTATTTAGATCATATATTACAGAGGTTCGTTATTTTTTTTTATACACAGAGAGGTTCGTTATGAAGGTATTCATCACAACCTTTATTTACTTCATTTACATAATCAAGAGTCAAACGTCAAATGTTGTTTAAAGTATCCAATTGACGGTAAGATACTAGAGCAAAATAGGAATCGATGTTGCTTCATTTACAACATTAAGATTCGAACTTAAAATCATTTAAAGTGTTTAAATTTTAATTTAAATTAAAATAATAATAAAATAAATACGGATATTAAATTCAAAATCACTCCATAATTAATCTACAAGTTCCGTGAGTATTTAACACATTCATATCTAGTCCACCTCATTCATGTCTATTTAATTTTTGTTTTTATTTTTTATATTTTTCAATTTGTTTAAAGACAATTAAATATATAAATTAATTGGGAATCCATCAAGCAATTTAGATTTTTGCCATACCAAGCCGAAGTGCTAAATATCTTGCTCTTGAGCAAGAACATTTATATTTATCTTAAACATTAATCCACAGCTACAAGAGTACACTTCAAAAAGAAAAGTGATGGAACAAATTACAGGCAAAGGGGAGTTCTAGTTGGAGATAGCTAAGCTCTCTCTCTCTCTCTCTCTACTTTAATTTTTTTCAAACTTTCCACATTGGTTTCTCCAACGCTTCGTGTTGCTGAAAAGGACTCAACCCTTGCAGTCTGGCTCCTGCAAACTGATCAAAATCATGATGTTGCTGATGATGATGTTGATGCTTCTCAAGTAGATTCCTTGCTGGTCTCGATCCACCAATACCCAAGAAATCAACAGTCATTGTATCAACCCTCTTCAACAACACATTGTTTTGCTCGAAAATCCCTGAAAACATCCCAAGATTGTTGTTGACAGCTGAACTTTGATCAATGAATTGATTGTTGTTGTTGTTGTTGTTGTTATGAGTTTGTATTGAAACAAACGACGGTGGTGCCATGGTACTTGTGGTGAAAGTACTACTGGTTGCACCCATTTGAGCTGCTTTCTGCAGCAAGGCGGTGGCGGACATGGAGGCCGAGCCGGAAAAGAGGTGACCGCAATTTCCGTCGAATATGGTCGCCGACGAATTCGAAACGCCGTTTGAAAACATGGTTCCGGCCATGTTTAACGGCTGCTGCAAAGAGCTTTTAGTGTCGTTGTTGCAGAATGGATCTGATATATTAGTGGCGGATGGATTCGGGTTGTTACTGATGGGAATTGCAGGGATGAGCTGATCAGCAGCAGCAGCAGCAACAACAACTTGGCCTTGTAGATTTGTTGATCCCACGTTTGGTACTACTAGTCCTTGGCTTGCTTTGTTGTTTTCTTCAGTTAGGGCATCACAAAAAGCTCGATGCGTTATAAAACTGTCTCTTCTGCACCAAAAAAAAAGGGTCCATTATTCAATTGTTTTGAAATAGCATTATTAGTAAAAACTTTTCAGGCTATATATATATATAAAATTTGATCTCCTCGGGCATTGACAATTCATTCCTTCTTAATAGGTGAAGAGTCTCAGCCGGTTAATTAACGAACATCGGCTGATTTTCTCTATACCAGAGATGAAAGTATAAGGGTAAAGATGAGAGAAAAGAAGGGGAAGAAAAGTGGAGATGAACCCCTCTCAATCCCGCATGAGAAAGTATAGGATATGTTAAATAGATCTAGTTGTTAGATCTTAAATTACGCTCTCGTAGAAGTGAGCTTTTTAGAGGTAGGTAGAGGTGTTATCTATACACTATAGCTGGCTCTGAGGCTATAATACTCGTATGTAGAGGTCATATCTATGCAATATAGCTGGCTAGGAGGTTATAACACTCGAATGTCCAGAGGATATAAATTCTTTGAAAAGTCTAATAAATGAAAAAGTTGATATGGAAGTTTTGATTGGCGGAGAGTTGGTAGTTTTCGGAAGTCACTTACAAAAAAAATAACAATATATATGTATACCTTGAGAAAATGGTGCCACAGTCGCATTTGTATTCCTTGGTGCCACAGGTCTTGGAATGAGCTTTCCAATCAGATTGCACGGCATATTTCTTGGAGCACTTATCGCATTTCCATTTCTTCTCGCCATGCTTACGGTAAAAATGCTTCTTGATCCCGGTGAGGTCGCCTAGGGCTCGAGCCGGGTTATGGTAGATGCATGACGGCTCGGGGCAAACATAAACCCTTTTGCGGATCTCGGTTGTGCTTCTTTGCTTGAGCTTCCACGGCAGATTATGTCCTCGACGGTGGAGCTGAAGGTTTTGGTCCCTTTGGAACCCTTTGTTGCAGATTTCACACGCGAAACGATTCGTGGCCGAAAGTGTATTTGGCGATAAAGCAATCACTTCTGCATTGGGATCTGCACATAAAAAACCATGCAAGATACTGATATATCACATTTTGGATTATATATTTTTAAAATTTCTTAATAATTTAATCATGAATGCTTAAATATTTTTATGTATATTATACTCGAATTGAAAATCTCTAATAATAACAATTATATCTTTAACTATTGAGATCATTTAATTTATGCAATAAACTAAAGTTTGAAATACCATGAAATCAAAATGAAATATCATTAAAAGTACAGATATTCCATTGGCAGAAATTTTGATTCCTTTTACTTAAACAGTGAAGAACAAAAGAAAAGAAAAGAAAGTGAAAAAGAGAGAAACAACAGTTTGCACTGCAATGATTGTCATAAACAACCAATAATTGAAACCCTTTTCCCTTGCACAGCTTAAAGTAAACAAATTTCAATAATTCAACCCAGATTTGCTCTCAAAAACTGTTAACTTTTTCCCGAGAAAAAAGTTCTCCAAGAAATTCAGAAGATCTTGTTCATAATAGCAGCCACAGTTGAACCAAACCAGCTTAAAAAAAACATTCAAGAAACTTTCTAAATACAGCAAGTAAAACTAAAAGAAAATAACTAAGTTGAATTATACACAACCACACAAACAAATATATGCAGTAAAACTCATCTGCTTATATTCTGAATCTGATAGCTTATCAGTTGACCGCAACAAATAAGAAAACCTAAGAAGACACGGAATTACCAAAAAAATCCCACAATTATCTCCCCATTTTCAAGATCTTGACACCCTTTTCTGTATAATTCAACTTGAAAACTTGTTTATATATATATATATATATATATTATACCAGGAGTTCCTGGAAGGTTTCGTTTCTTCTTGGCTGGAGGTTGAGCAGTGGAGCCATTGCTGTTGGTTGAAAGCAAAGAGCTTGAGCCATGGAAGTTTCTTTCTTGTTCTTTCTCTTGTTGTTGAGCTTCTGAAGAGAAGCTACCTTCATCACCTGTGATATTTGACATTGAACAAGGGGAAAAGAAAAACAAAAACAAAGAGAGATCTTTTAATAAAAAAATACAATAAACTTTGTCTTTCTTCCAAATGAGACTCTCTTGTTCCTTTCTTACTCTTATTCCTAGTTCTTGATGCTCATCACACACACCAAATGCAGGATTATTTGTTTATATTAATCAAAGGAAAAAACAAAAAACAAAGACAGAAAACTTGGGATTTTTGTTGTAGCTAAAGGAAGACAAGAACCAGGAAATTCTCCTTTATTTCTGGTGATGGTAAAGTTTTTTTTTTCTATGCTTTCTTCTGGCTGTAGGTAAGTGAAGAACATATTACATATATATGTAGCCAACCCGATCTGGTATTCTTTGGCTAGACTAATAATCATAAATAAATATTACCACTAGGTTGTGTGTTTATAACTTTATATATATATATATAAGACTTTTGATAAATGCTATAAGAAATAGCCCTAGGTTTTTGTAATAATTGCCCTTAATCCAAAAACTTTTCAATTATTTGTGTTGTTAGTTACCCTTATATTAGCTTATCATGTCAAATTTACTACCATATATTAGTGCTCTTTTTAGAGGGACTTGATCTAAAAAATCCAAGTATTGAAGGTGTAAAATAGAAATTTATCAAAGTTAGAGTTTACAAGTTTAAATAGAAATTTCATTCATCATCATTATAATTTTGTACTCTTACCTCCCACTAAAGTTGGTCAACTTTTTCAAAATTTTGGTTATAATTATTTTAAATATCTAAATAATTACATTTTGTTAAATATATATTTAAAAATCAATTGATTGAAAAATAATTATAGAAAAATAATAAATAATAAATTCAGAACATGAATATTTATTTATTTGAATAAATAAATTATTCATAGTTATTGTGAGAGAAAGAGAGTGATGATATGTAACGGTTCGTTCTTGTGATTTGGGTGAAAAATTACAATTATTCTATGTAAGGGTAAGAAAAAATAAACGAATTGAAGAAGTTGATAAATAGTAGAGAGAGAGAGTGTTTCTCATCCAACTTTACATAGTGATTTATACATATACCTCTATCGTTGGCGTAAGACCTAAGGTGATTATGACTATGTGTAGGTTAGCATGTGAATAAATTTATTTGTCAGACAATAAAATTTAGTTGATAAATCATATGGGTAAATCACTGGTCATGTCAAGGGAATGTAACTAGTATAAATTTTCAAAGATTTCAAAGAACTTCAGAAATCTATGAATTTAATAGGTAGAAAAATGACAATAAAAGTATAATTGGTAGAAAGAAAACATAGATAATTAATTTAAAATTTACTTACAAGATAATATATGTATTTGGTTTGAAATTTATAAGATAATATAGGTTAGTTTTTTTATTAAATAAAAACTATTTTGAAGGCACTTTATATGCACCATTTGGATTAACGAATGGCTTCTCCCTTCGTTATAAGGGATTTACTCCTATTACCAAATTAGTAATATTTCAGGGGACATTGAGGGTACTACAGACATTCTAACACTTCAAAGATCCAACACAAGCTAATTTATCTCAATCATTGCTTGTGGACGAGAGTTTCAAGTCGACGACTTTGTCGTTTTCCGGCTATAATTTTAAAAAAGCAATTTCATTCCCGTAAAGCCCCTGCAGCATTTGACCCGAACCCACGAGACGGACACCAAAACTCGCAGCCGCCGTGAGGCAGCGAAGTGACGAGAATAGCCTCGGGCCTAGCGGGTACTTCCCGATGTGCACCTTCACGTGCACCTAGGGCCTAGCGGGTACTTCCCGATGTGCCAGATCTCTCAGGGGTATTTCACATATTTCGCTGAAAAGTAGGGGAGTTAAAAACCCATATTACTAATCATAGTATTTTTTTTTAAAGTGGAATATCCGATGACACAGCATGAGTAGAATTGTACTTTTGAAGACAGGACATGCAAAGAATCTAACTGATACGGGATATATATATACGCACATATATAAGTAGTATAAAAAATAAAACAAAAGTTGGAACACACGTAAGTTCAGGGTTGTTTGTTTGCCTCTTAATAGAATCATTCAGTGCTGAATGTTGAACCGTTCAGTATTCAACGTGTTTATTTCGTATCTCTGAATGATTCAGTGTTGACTGATTCAGCAAAACAGTGCTGAATCGGTTCAACATTCAGCGCGTTTGTTTCGCACCTCTGAATGATTCAGTGCTGACTGATTCAGCAAAACAATGCTGAATGATTTAGCACAGAAGTACATTCTGAATCATTCAAAGCCAAACCATTCAGAGCGTCACATTCAGAGTCAAACCATTCAGAACATCTGAATCATTCCGGATTTGAATCATTCAGCGCTTAATCATTCTGAAGTAAACAAACAACCCCTAAATCACTTTCCTACACAAAACTAACGATACATCTCTCTTAAATTTTGTTGTATAATAGAGATATAATTATTTTTTTTTAATAATCATAGACTTTAATTTTTTTCTTATCCAATGATCTTAAGAGAATATAAAATTAAAACTTTTATATTAAATATATTAAGTATAAGTGGATCCTAATATATATATATATATATATATATATATATGACAGATGGCTAAATTTTGTTTAGAAAACTTTTTCTGGGCCTAAAAAATAATTAACTTGTAATCTATGAGTTCAAAGTGGGATATAAATAAATTTTATGAAGGGAAAAGCCTTTTTTGTCTGAATCATATGAGCAATCTAATGAGTCCCCCATGAACATTTCAATTTAACAACATATTAAAACCCCCTCAATAAAATAGGTTGATCCAGTGGAGTCGTATCTAAAAGGTACCCACATTAAAAGAATGAATTTTAAACTTAGATGGACAGTTAATTAATCTCTCTTCATTAATCTATGATTAATCTCTTAATTATTTTTAAAATCCCATAGGGATATGTGCTGTACCCTACAGCTAGTGTCTAAAAAGGTTAACGTGTCTTAAATTTAAGCTTTGTTATTGCCACGTTAGCTTCACACAGTTTCAAGATATAAAAAAAAAAATCACCCAAGACATCATTGAAACCAACCAAAAAAATATATCAATTGACATTGCCCACTTAGTTAAATCAGAAAATAAAAATGATTGAATGCACAAATTTATATATATTTTTTAATAACTTAAGGTGATTACAATATAATATATGTTCATAATTTTTTTTGGTTATTAACAATGTACGCACAACATACAAACGTAACTATTCGAATTCGAGATCTATATAGAGAACAACATTCTATTTTACTACCGAAATCAATTAGTGAGTTCACAAGCTTACAAGTTTTTTTTCTCTAATTTATTGCATATAAAACATTAAATTATTAATTTTTAAGATAAATGATTTAACAATAAAGTTTAACAGTGATATCCATTTATTATTATGGACCGACATGAGTAATAACTATAACTTTTAGTTGTCGTTGTTAATCTTCAAAAGAAGAGGAGAGGAGAGCCATTAATTATTATTAGTTTAGTTCGATGAGCTTCTCAATCACTTGTAATCTCTTGGGATCAAACATCGAAGTGGCTAAAAGCTTTTACCATATCGCACACGCAAACACACACACACTATATATATATATCCACCAACCAAAATGGTCCCCATCATGAAAATAACTACATGCCCACTGCCTAAGCTTTCAATTATCATATCATATATTATATTTGGACCGACGAAATTTTAATTTAAACTCAATATTCGAACATAATCAAGTTCTAGAAAATGAGGCAGCAAGAAGATAATTATTTAGTATAATTGAAGGACCCAAAGCTTGATTCTCATCAGTTTTGTCAAATATATTTTTAATTGCATGTTAACGACATGCCGATCTAACTCGTTTGCTTTTGTCTGGTCTTAATATTCCGGGTAAACAACATCTTCTTGGCTAATTAAATCTAAAGAAAAAGGCAATTATTATCAAAAGGGTTCTTATAGACCATTTGAAGAAGTACTATAAGTTTTAGAATTTGACAAGTTCCTTTGATCTCAAATCCCTACCCCTAAACGTATGTATGTGCATGTAATATAAACTGAATTATTGGCGTAACACAAAAATACTCATTTTAATAAAAATATTTTTCGGCCTGATTTGATATCAGATTCATTAATCGACTAATTTAGATTAGATTAAAGATTCATTTGGGGTTAACCCTATCAACCCATTTTTCTTCTCTCAAAACGTAACGATTTGAATCTCTTGCCTTATTTAAAAGAATTAAATTTTCATGCCGCTAAACCACCATATAGTTAGTTAAAATCTTTGATGATACATCAATATTAAAACGATCGGTTAATCATACTTGTCTGTAGTTATATTTTATTCATTACTATTCACTACAAATTTAATCTCTTGTTAGAAGTATGATTTTCACTATTCATAGATAAGGTCTACATATTTGAATCTTGATAATTATTATTATCGAAAAAATAATGGATTTAATCTTAATTCGACGCCAATGTATAAAATTTATATCTCAACAATATAAACTATAGTATATGAACTTACAGCATATTTTAACCTATTAACTTTATAATAATAAAAGTGAAATGGTTGTCCCTTGTTCCCATATGTAATGGGGTAAGGAGGAGGTAAGATAGTACGTTGCCCCCAACATTAGATTGAGAGGAGTTTCTGTAGGAGACCTCCGAATTATGAAATACCCTCCATGGGACTCGATCTCACGACCTCAAGGTTAAGAACCTTGTGCTCTACCAACTGAGCTAGATGGTCATTTCTTATAATAATAGAAGTGAAATGAGTTCTCTTTTTGGAGCCATTGACAAAAAAAGATAGGCTGAGTAAGAACAGATAGATCTCAATGACCTTATTAAGTTGGCAATGAGCTTTCACTTGACCTTTTTTCTTTTCTTTTTTAAAAAATAAAGAGCTTGCCATCAATTTTCCTTTCTTTTGCGAAAAGTGGAAATGAATGCAGTTAAGGCAAAAGCTACTTTCAAGCATAACTCAAAGATACTCTTGTCTCTCATGATTTGCTACCCATTGCCTCTTACTAAATCTCTTATTTTTCTTTTAATCTAAGAATTTTACTATAATCTACTACAAATTATAAAAAATTATATGAAAATACAAAAAAAAACCCCTAAAACTCTTGTTTAGTTTTATAAGACTACGATCCACTTATTAATGTAAAATTTGTTAGTTTTACATAGATTTAGGACCGTTGGATGAGAAAAAACATACGACTGAGATTAACTTCTTGTTTTTTTCTCCGATTAATATCATTTCCTACTGTTAGTCTTAATTGTTTATTTCCACTCATTCAATGTTTTTAAATATGTTTAAAACCAAAAAAAAAAAATTACACTGTAACTAAATCTTATCCCATTTATTTATATAAATACAATAATTATAGTTGAATAAAATTGGTTCAAGAATGTCTGTATCACCGAATATCCGCATTTTTTCTATCAGTTTATTTCTTAACCTAATAAGTACACCATACACTTTTCGAATAAGATCAAACAAAATTCATATCACAAACTCTAACAATCTCAATCTCTCTCATTTATAATGATAAAATTACTATGATATATACATACATAGATATTGCTTTTCGTTTCAAATGCAAACATTCATCTTGGATTCTTTGAGCACTAATTGATCATGCAAAAAAGAAAAGAGGGATGGGGACCAAAGCCGAATGATATTTGGCATGAACTCGTTCCTTTTGGGAGCCGAAAGAAGACAAAAAAACATGCATTTTGGCGAATAAAATTATTAACTTTTTTTTAACTATGTTTGTTTTAGAGTTTATATATACATTAAAAACTTCAAAAAAAATACGTAAATTAGTTCATATATAAAAAATGGTTGTCCCTTGTTCCCATATGTAATGGGGGGTAAGGGGAGGTAAGATAGTAATAGGCTGCCCTCAATACCAGGTTGAAAGCAGTTTCCGTAGAAGACCTTAGAATTATATATATATATATGGGTTATGATCTAACTGTATAAAAATCTGTTTAGTGTTGTACCTTTTTAGAATCATTTAATTTAGGGAAATTAAATAATGAGATTAGTTCATTTTTTTTTTCAGTGAATATATTCTCATTTTCTAGTGTTAACCTCAACTTTTAATTTTTCTCATCCAATGATCCTAAAATAGTGTAAATTTAAAAGAATTTTATACAGTGTAATTGGATCATACGCCTATATATATAAATAAGGTCAATCATTGGATAAACAAGCACATTTTTTTCTTCAATTTAAAGAAGAACACTTTTGAGATTATATGTAAGTCCTCTTTTTGTTTGAAATTTCTTCGAAATTTCATACTTACCAATGGGAGAAAAAGGGGGTGGGGATTAATACATGTGGTTCAATAATGGTGACAATAAAGATTAAAAGAAAGTTGCAAAAAGAAATCTAAAGATCTAAAATGTCTACCAAATTCAAAATAACAATAATTTGAAGGATGATGGCCTTAGATGTAAATATATATATATAACCTAAATTACCGATTTTGATCTATTTTAGTACTTAAAATTTCATTCTTTTTAAAAGCATACCTAACATTTTAAATTTTGTTTCATTTTAGTATCTCACTGTTAAAAACTTAACGGACTGACTAATGTCGCAATTTATAATATTTTTAATTTTTAAATTATTATTTATATTATTTAATCTTACTCAGAAACCCGTGAGAAGCTTCGTAGATCGTCACGTCTATAATCGTTGACTGCCACATCTGTTGGTCGATGAAGCCTAAATTTTTCAGCTCACACATTTTCGACCCGTGAACACGATTCCGACCTCTGTTTCACCAGGAAACACCTCAATCTTCCCAAATCGACAATGGACTCTTCGATTTCTTCATCCTCCGATCTCTATGGTCCTCTGTCCGATGATCTTGAAACTGTACTATATTGGTCGACTCGTCATTCTCTCATGGTCCATCATTTGAATTGATCATTCATCCATCGGAGCTATCACCGTCGAGAACCCAAAGGTTCACCCCTTTTTCTCTTTTCCTTTGTTTTGCTGTTTTTTGTTTCCTTTTGTTCTTCAACTCTTCACTATCGTCGTTCTCGAGCTATTGTCGGATGCCACATATGCAAAACACCGGGAAGTCTTTCTTTTTCTCCTCTCTATTATGCTTACCAACGTTTGGTTATGGTTTTAGGGGTATTAGGATTGGGTTGATTAACTAAATAATAATATAAATGATAATTTAAAAATTAAAAATTGTCACGTCAATTTGTCCGTTAAGTTTTAAACGACGATGTACTAAAATAAAATAAAATTACACGTTAGGTATAGTTTTAAAAAAAATGAAAATTAAGGTACTAAAATAGACCAAAACTGAATGTTTCAATACTAAGTGTGTAATTTACCTTATATATATAGAACTGCTAGATAAAAAACATAAATCAGTTATCCTCATCCAAATGCAAATAAAAATTAGCTGACCTTATTCCCATATGTAATGGGATGAGGGAGAGGTAAGGTAGTAGGCTGCCCCCAACGGGTTGAGAGCAGCTTCCGTGGAATACCTCCGGCAGTCAGAATTATGAATCGCCCGTCCAGCTCAGTTGGTAGAGCGCAAAGCTCTTAACCTTGTTTGCCTAGTTGGATAAATATATGGATAGCCCTAAACCATCCTATAGAAATGGGGTCTTGCTTTTTGATCCTAAAGTTCATTGGTTTTATACTAGACTTCAAGTATGGATCGTAAAACGGACATGAAAGATACAAAAATATGCATATATACATATATATGCTCTTCAATCTCTTCACTGACTCGACTCAAATCAATGCCTAGACACATAGATATGGCATTTGAATATGCAAACTGATCTCCAGGGGAAAACAGGCAAAAGGCACACTAGCTCATATATCAGTAAAACTCCGGGGATTGATGCAAGAATGAGATTGAAAACAATGGTGGATCCGTGTAATCCAGGTCAAATAAATAAAACCTTCAGCATTCATGGAAGGAAATTGTATCGCAATGCTATTTTAGCTGTAGGAACAAAATATAACTGAACTAGAAACTTTGATTAAACGTGAACATCTGAAACAGATTTCTCAATAAATGAGTGGACAAGGACAAAAATACCATGAAAAGATGTTTGATGTATGCAATTGCTAGTCCAGAAATGGCTTCTGATAGTAACGGACCAAAAGCTGATGTTTCATTTTTTTTTTCTGAAAGGGATCACCATATGCTGGTCTATACTATGTGCAAAGAAAAAAAATGGAAGCTCATACCTCTCTATTGGAGATTTTGGGATATCCATCAGCCAATGGACCTAGCGGCATGTCGGAAAATGAAATAACTTGATGATATTTGCTAGCTATCCACTTGAGGAGGATTGTTCATAATATCTTTGGAACACATAAATGCACCATCGGTGTCTTTTCCTTCCTTTGCATCCTCAGTTTTAGAGCCAATGCTCCTGTGCTTTGGTGTTGCTTTGACTCGACTGCGTGCTTTTCGGGAAGGAGTTGAAAACTGGATTGCTTGTGCTCGCACGTTTCTAACTTTTTGCGGCCTACTCATGTTGAAGAAGCCACTCTCAAGAGCTTCCAACGCTCTAGTGGTTGATGGTCTGCTTCTTTTGCTTTGCCTCTGGGCGTTCACAATAGGTTGCTGCTCTTTAGCACAAAGATTATTAGCACTCATCAACAAATCAACACGATTATTGACAATGTTGAACTGCCTACAATTGGCTTCCATCCCTCCTGGTTCACCATTCCGAGATTCCAGAAGAAGCAATGGTGGGCTTGAAGTAATCGATGACAGAGATGGAAGCTTCTCACTACTCCCTCGAGGAATCTCCATAGATTCTGGATTGCCTTCGGCAGAAGAACTAACAGATGATACTTTGTCATAGAAATGACTCGTATCGGGAACACCATTGCTGCATAGCCCACTTTGTTCACTAGTGTCAACAGAAAATTTCTCTGTGAGGCAACTTCGATCTGTCTTAGCAAAAACATTTAATTGCCGTTTCTTCATAGGAGAAATTAAATGTATTGAATTACCAGAGATATTCTCAGTAAGGTGACTTCTATCCATCTTAGCACAAGCAGTTAACTTTTGTTGTTTCATTGGAGAAGCTAAATCAATTGACAAAGTGGCAGATTTCTCACTAGTCTCCGTATTAGAAAAAGCAGTTAATTTCTTTCCTTTGGCCGGTGGAACTATATTAACAGCATGACTAGATTTTGCTCTTCGACTGAACTGGTGCTTTATTATCTGCTTTGGCCTGGTATCTTCTAATGTATTGATCTTCTTTCCTGGTGAATCATCAATCCCGGTCTACAATACACGAGACCTTCGGCTCTCGTTTTGAACTGTCATTGTCATAATTACCCTTACCATTGTTCTTATAGCCTTTCAACAAATTACTAGCAGTAAATGGCTTGTTACCAGGCTTTGTATCCATGGCAACTGAACCATGACTCGATAGTCTATCAGTAAACTTTTGCTCGTGCTCATTGGAAGAATCATCACTTGAATTGTCTTCATCTCCTCCTAAAGAGTTGCTAACTTTGGAAGAAATTTCAAGCTCAACGGGTAAACATCGGAGTTCTCTTACCCCGGAGGATTTTCCTTCATGGAGCAAACTGCTATCTACAATGGTGAATTTACTGTGGCTTGTAGTAGAGCTAGCTATTTTCCCCTCACGATGGCAAGCATTAGTAGCACACTTGTCACCTTTTGACAGCATGCAGTTAGAATTTACCTTCCGCGAATCTTGAGCATCCTTCTGCATTAGCTTGGAAGCAAACATCAAATCAATTGGTGCATACTTCAGTTCTCTCATCTTAGATGCTTTTCCTCCATGTATCAAACTGGAATCAACGACTGTGAACTTCATATGGTTTGATCTCGAAATGGATACTCGGGGCTTGAGATAACAAGGCTTATGATTAGGAGAATCGTCCTCATCCGATGACTCTCCTGGAAGGCATCCATTTTCTTCATTGCAGCTCCCAATACCGTTTCCTTCAGCATCAAGCTCGATAAGCGTCGGTTCAGATGCAATTTTGCTCAAAACATCACTAACAGAATCAAAGTAGTGATTTCCCTTGATGAGTTTTCTTCTTGAGAACTTCTTCACTCCAGGCATAAGAAAGACTAGGTCATGGTTGGAACTGACAGAGCACTGATTCTTAGGTTGCTCGGAGTGCCACCCTCTTGCAAGCAGGCGTGGCCAAACAGCTTCCCAGAAAATATCATTGCATCGAGCTTTGCTCAATCTAAAGCCTCCAGTTAAAAACCTGATGATGTCTCCCGATGTAAGAGATGAACAAGCCTTCCCAGATGGTATTTCGGAGGAAACTTGAGTGGTCTTCAGAGGTTCCATGGCCATGCCTGTAAGATCTGCCTTCCCCTTATTAAGACCTACAGCATCTACAAGAGCACATATGCCAACACTATTCTTTAAATCAAAGACATAACTTTCAAGTGAAGTTCTCCCTTCCACAAATGATTTAGAGACCTGCCAATAGATGATGAAATAGAAGAGTGACGGACATATAAACTCGGTCAAGCACAATAAAGGCATCTACAAGAGTAATGATTGAACAACCTTAGTTTACAAATGTGATCAATTAGTTTACAGTGACTAACTAGAAGATTATACTAATGTCTTCTGATTATTTATCAAAACTGACCAAAGGGCCATGCAAGATAATACTTTAGAAAACTTGTAAGAATTTCTATTTTGATAAACAACAGCTACCAGTAGAGGAGAAACAATAACTGATTATTTCAAAAAATGGACATGAATCATGCATTGAAACCATGGAACCATCCTACTCCGGATTAAAGCACCGAAAGAGTGAAATACGTTTGAAAGTGTTTCGTAATCTACAATAGATTGGAACAAAAGCAGATTTGCTTAAGCAACGGAGGCTAGTCCTGGAAGAATGGATTCGACACTCCTAGTAAAACACATTGAAAAGTTAACCATAGAAAAATTGATCTCCTACACTAATAATCAGCAAAGCACACACAGCATCGACTAGGATATCTTAAACTAGTAATTTATTCGTCGACATGAAGCTAACAAACACTTGGTTGAATCCATGTGAGTAATAAATAAGCACATATGAGAAATCTGGTTTACCTCCTGAAAATCATTTTGTAATTCTTCTGGGACATGGGTGAGCAACCGAGACAACAGTTCCTGCTGCCTCCAGCCTGTAAAGATTTTCCGTCCATAAACATTTCTTCGAGTTCGTTTGTTTTGGCCATCTGACCATCTGCAGTATCTGTCAGACCTATAAAATGCCCCATAGTAAAATGACAATATATCCCCCATCTCCTTGCCTTCAATGAATTGTTTTATCAGCCTAAAATTCTTTCCAAATATATATAAACAAAGAAGAAAACCATCCACATCTGTATCACTCCAGGAATAACCTGATGAACCTGGAATTAGATGAGACCTTTTACCTTCACATGGTCGAAATAAGCTAGATTTACTTGACATTCCACATTCAAGGTTCTCAGCATTTGACTCTTTTTCTTCGACCAACCTAACATCCGACTGTTCAGCACTTAGTTCTAAATTTTTCTTCCTCTTAGAAATCTGACCCCTGCTCTTTCTCGATTTGACAGACTTATCCACCTTACTTCCATCATTGCGCTTCCTCGGACCTCCCTTGCCTTCATCCTCGAAATCAGTGTCTTGTTCATGGGTCCACGTGACAGGGACAGGTAAGCCTAACAGAAAAGAATGGGCAAGATAAGGAATGCCTTCTGGGTCAAGAGGGTCCATCAAAAGCCGTAGATGCTCAGATCCTGTTATCATAGGAGGAATTTCCACCTGGTATTCATCACCAACTCTCGGACTTAATTGTGGATCACCGAATATATCTGTTATATCGGGAGATTCTGGTGGAAGCAACAACTCGGGAGATGCTTCTTCGGCGAGGTTGCAATTAGGATCCACCTGGACTGTTTCCATCTGTGAAAAGTAGGAAAGAAGAATGAGATAAACTCAACTGCAAATAGCTAACAGCTAAAGATATGACATATGGGCCCAAATTAACAAGGAATCTGTTACATGCTCAAGAACAAACCACCAAATATCAGACTCATTGGAAAACCACCACGAGCTTTAGACCATGAGACGTATAAAATGAAAACTTAGACTGGTACTAAGGTATAGAAATGAAAGAACACCGCTCAAAGAAGGTGAAATGTAGTGAATTTGATCAAAGCATTAAAGGGTGCTATTCAAAAGCTCAAACAGTCATAATATCCAAGATATAGTTCAAACAAATGGATGCATAGCTGATAAATGTGCAGACGAGATGTTAAAACAATCAAACATCCCTATAGATTCAAGCAGCATAAAGATTCAAATATTGGGGGAAATGGGAACATGCTTTCTAAAACAGAAAACCTAAAATACCAATCTAGTTATCCAGACACATTAGAGGAAATATTTCATACATTACTAGTAACCTCAAACATCATGTTCAAAGTGCAGAGCACCAGTATTACACCTGGAGAACTTTTCAATTAAAACCCATAAATTACATTATCCAAATGCCCAAATTCTCTTCTTCCATTGATACATAGCACGACAAAACATACATCAACTGATCACCTCCACAAAGATGCACATAGTGGGAACATAAACAGAAACCCACATTAATGGCACACATACAAATGTAAATAGCATCAAAGAACAGCAACCCCAGATCCCCTTTTTTTGTATACAAAAACGAAACAGTTTACCATTGGAAGCTGATTTATGGACCATTGGAAGTCGAAATTCGAAACTGGGAAACAAAGAAAGCAAATGGAAGACAATTCAAAGAAACCCAACAAGTGATGCAGAATAATGTTTTACATAGGGAAAACAAAAACGATAAAAAATCTAAACTAAGGCGACAATCACAGTGAGAAAGATAACATGCGAAGTAAATAGAAGCAACTTAGTGGCTATAACTTAACCTTTGTTTTTCTTCCCCGGTGGGAGAAGAGAAGCTTTGAAACGTTGAAAGTAAACGTGAAAGGACTTGGGCGTATGGGTAGTTATTATGTTATGCAGTGATTCGTAGCTTTTATTTAAAACTTGTGTATATACTCTCTCTCGATATATGTATATATATATCGTGTATATATATATATATACATTTGACAAGTTGAATATACAGTGTTGCTAAAAAGAGGGAGAAGAAGGGTGAAAATTTATTGACAGATTAAAATTGGTTAAAAATATTATTTTCTGGGTAAAGTATATAAATAGTTCTTCGACTATAAAATATTATTTTATTCAGTCTCTTTACAATTAAAAGTTATAAAATGGTCTTTAATTATTGAAGTTGCTTTGTTGAGTCTCTTGACTATTAAAAGTTATAAAATGATCACTCAACTATTTATTATGTTCCAAACTCGTCATTTTCTATTAAAAAATTAACGATCATTTGAGCTGGAGATTAATATACTTACTAAGATATGATAGTTGTTTAAGATTATGAGATCATATTTGATCATATCTCTATCAGTATGTTAAAATACAACTCATATTGTCATCAAATTTTAATGTAAAATGACGACTTTAGAACGTAATTAATAATCAAGTGACCATTTTGTAACTTTTAATAGTCAATTGGCTCAACAAAGATATTCAATATAATTGGATGATCATTTTGTAACTTTTAATCGCCAAAAAACTTAATAAAACAACATCTTATAGTCAGGTGACCATGTATGTACATTAACCCTTGTTTTTTTTATCCAACACATTTGGCTTTGGTGTGAATAATCAACGTGATTCGATTGAGTTTAAAGTATTTTTTAATTAAGTTAAGGTGATTAAAAGATAATATATGTTTTAAATACTCTGAATCATTTAATAATGAACGTTCAATTATCTATGTTGTAATTGTTGGAGTTCGAATTCGAAATATCTAGGAATAACAATTATTTTAAAAACTACTGAGATAATTTGATTCGTGCCAATTGAGTTAAAATTAATTCTGATTGAATTTATTTCTGAAAATTATTTTATTTAATTTTTTGATTTATTAAGATTTAAACTGGTTTTATTTTAAAAATCATTTTTGAGAAAACTACATTTATAGTCACGATAGTGTTTATATATATATAAATAATTGACTAATGTGTTTTGAATATATACCACGTCAGAATTTAGCTGATATTAATATTGTAAACTAATAATAAAAATGACAGAATTGATATAATATTTTTGCACAAATCAATTATATTGGTAGTAAAAAAATTATTATTATTATTTGAGTTTTCGGATTCGAGTATCAGAAATATCAGGTTGTGACTTGTGAACTATCAATGTTAAATAATTAATATTTATCTTTGAATAAATACTACTTTAGCTTACCTCAGATTAATTAAAAAAATATTTTAAGTATTTTCCTATAATATTGTGGCCAATTTAAAATACGATGGAATTAACCCAAATTAAATTGCAAGGAACGTTCATGGGCCAGTGCTTCAAATGGGCACAAAGTGTGATCCGATGCGGGTTAAATTATCGGGTTTCTGGGTCGAGCATGGCAACCCGAATCTGAATTTGAAAGACGCCTTAAATTTGTGAGATTTCAGAGTGTTGAGTGGCTGGTGGAATTGTTTGCATAGTTACGATCGAAATTTCTGAGTCAGGGCCACCGAGTTGCCGAGTCGTCATGGCTGATTATCACACATCGAGTCACAGAGCTAAGTGGATCTCCTCTCCTCAAGAACTGGTAAATAATATGAAAAAGGAAAGAGAATTTATCATTGTTTCTTAAATGTAAGGCAAAATCAATTACTCCTCATAGCAGTGCATTTCTTCTTCTTTTTCACTGTTTAATTGGTTCAAGCTGCTCGTGCTAGTATCTTTGCTTAAATTTCTTCATTGATGCTTTATTGATGTAAGAGATTTTAGTGTTTTCTCAAAGTTCAATAGGAATTTCAATTAATTGAGAACTTTGTTAAGTTAAAATTAGGTTCGTTTGTGTTTTTATTGGGTGAAATACTATTGTTATTTTCTTGTTTTGCTGATATAGGTTGAGAAACACAAGGCTGCTAATCAAAGATCAATACAAACACTGGAGAAGGTACGACAGAGCCTTTGCTTTTCTATTGTGCGTGTATTTGTTTTTGCACGGTCTCGAGGGCTTGTCTTTATAGTACACCTACGAGTTACTGATTTAGTAAATTAGATGAAATTGGTGTTGATTTCCCTTCTTTACTTTCCGTTAGCAACATATTTTAATGATGTCTGTTACAGATACATTCCATTGTTGATTTGATTGAACCTCACTTGCTTGTTTGTTCTGAAGTATGGAACAACTCAGATGGGAGTAGATGCCGAAGGTTCAATATCGTACCCTGAACCTACTGCAAGGGAAAATGGTAAAATCCATTTCTTTTTCCTTCTGGTTTTATAGTGAAATGCTTGGTCACTGAGTTTACCATGTGATATTTTGATTCTTCGTGTCAGCTGACAAGCGTCCAAAACCCCTTAACATTGAATAAGAACAATTCATGCGGGTGTTTTATGAGAACAAACTTCGAGAAGTTCGTACTGCTTTCTACTTTCCTAATAAAATTCAGGCAAGACAAGGTCACAATTGATGTGCTTCTACTTCTGGCTCGCATTTTGCAGGCAACAGCTCTGATTTTTTTCAAAAGGTTTTACCTGCAGTGGTCGGTCATGGAACTTCATCCAAAACATACAATGTATGATTCTTCTACATCTCTTTCAGATATATGCTATAATGCTTGTTATATCTGCATGTAATATGCTGTATCCAAAACTTAACTTTTGAGACTGTGATCACTGATCACCCTACCGTCGATTTTAGCTTTATTCATCCTTTCAATACAATACTCCGTGTCGGCCCGAGTGGCGAAGCGCTCCAAAGCGAAGGTAAACATTTTATACCTAGGATTCCTGCTGTTGATAGGGATGAAGACTTGCGTCACTCTTCCATGATGTCTGAACACCTCTCTCAAGGCACCCCTTGAGTCCCTCTTACTTAAGTTGTCGACAAAGGCTGTCCACCCACCGCCGCCGCCGCTTGCACTTCTTGCTTCACGACTACCTCGCTTGTAAACAATAATATGGTGGTAGAAATATCCGAATATGAAGTTTAGAACTCGGAAGATGAAATATTTATCAACAGTTTTAACACCATAAGAGCTTACAAGTCAATAATAGAACAGGAGAACGCAAGGCAAATTGTTCTGCAACTCTATCATGAAGAAAGAGCTCACACAAGCAAAAGAAAGAAATTTATACTTAACAAAATAATGTCATATTTTATTTTTTATGATAATTATTTAATACAATAATGACTAAAATATTCAATGAAGTTAAATAGAAATTGGGTTTATTTATTTTTAAGGATTATTTTTGTTGTATTTATGTTATTTTAGTTGATAATATTTTATATTTCATTATCGTAGTGATGTTTTTTTAAAGTTATTTGGTAGAATATCTTTAATATTCATCTTGTTTGATTTTAGTTTTATCATTTAATGATTAGTTTATGCTTTTATATGATTTAAAAAAATGATTGGTTCATATAATTAGTCTATTTTAATTTTTATAAATATTTCTTATTTGAGATTATAATTTGTTATATTTTTTTATCTATTCAATAATACACGATTTTATTAATTTAAAAAGTATTTCAAAATTTTTGATCTCTCTTATATATGTTTGCACATGTATGTTTGAAGTTTTGAATATAATTTCTTTCATTAAAAGTATGATATGTTTCAAAAAATATAAATATTAAAAGTCATTTTTATAAAAAAATTCACTTAATTTTTATTAATGTGCCATTTATCCAAGTTTATTTATATTTGGTATTTTAGTTCAAATTCCATATTTATTATTATTATTATTATTATTATTATTATTAATCTAAGGCATTTCTAGTTAAAAATTTTCAACTATTGAAATCACTTGATTCATACATGTTATATTTATTATTAAATAAAATAATTTAAGATAAATTAATATTCTGTAAATAAAAGTAAGGGTAAATTCTGCATTTAGTACCTAAACTATCAGTTTTGATTTGTTTTAGTATTTAAACTTTTAATTGTTATCAAAACCATACCTGATGTTTTAATTTTTGTTTCATGTTAGTATTCGGCCGTTAAAAATTACACCATTCATCCCTTAACTATCTCCTCACTCCTATTTTGGTTATTAAAGTATAAAATTTTCAATTTAAATTCTCAACTTTCAAATTGCTCATGTTTTACTCACTCTAATTTATTTTATTAATAATACTTAGTTATATGATATTTTTTTATTAATATATATTTAAAATTAAAAAATAAATTTGAAAGCTAGAGTGATTAAATTAGGAGTAAATTGAAAGTTAAGTAATTAAATTAAAAAAATTAAACTTCAATGACCAAAATAAGTAGAGAAAATAGTTAAAGGATGAATGATGTAATTTATCCATAAAAAGTATAAGCTGTAACAATATCTTTGATTTTACTAAAATGAAATAAAAACTAAATATCATATATAATTTTAAAAACTTTGAAAATATACATACTAAAATATATCAAAATTAATAGTTTAAATATTAAATACATAATTTACCCAAAAAGTAAAAGGTCGTATGTAATAAGTATTTTCATAAAGTTTCTTACGCCAATTCATACATTTTTAATTACATTTGTATTGTTCGTTTTCGTCCTTTCTCTGAACTTTTTATTTATTTATTTATTTTTTAAGAAATATATTTTAAAAATTCGTAGTCAGATTCTTCACTGAGAGGTCACAAATTCTCTTGAAGATCCAATCAAATGCCAACGCTTTAATTTTTCTCTATCTAAGTTTGGGTTTTTATCTCTTTCAAGCTCTCCTTTTACTCCCTGCGGTTGTCGAAATTGTTTACTGAAAAACCCACTCTGTCAGCTTCCTCAAAGCTCCATTGATTTAGTGTTTTGGGCTTGATTTAGTGTCAAATTCTTGCTTTTAATGTCGGATCAGAGCCTTAATTTTGGGTATTGATGGAAATTTCGGGGTTTTGTTACTAGCAGTTTGATTTGTTGACTTTTGGGATTGAGTTTGTTGATTTCTGAGGGTTTTGATTGGGTTTTGGGTGGTGCTACATGTAGAGGAATACTGAAGGTGGGATTGAATTTTAGAGGGTTTCTTATTTGGAGATCTTAGGGTTTCATTTTTATGTTGTGATTTATAAGAAAGGGTAACCATCACGGGGTCCTCTGCTCTATTTCGTAGAGGATCCCTATTGAAAAAACTTAAAATTCTATGATATTTACCAATCTTGATTGCCTCGGTGAAGATTAGTAAGTGTCTTTAATTGCTTGAAATACTAGAGCTTTAGTGGTGAAAAAGTTTAAGTGAAAATTTGTTGAATTATAGTTTTCGAGTATTCATAGTTTGGTTCTTGTGTAAATTGTGGAGAAAACGTCTGCTTCTGGTCCAGAAACTGGCCATGAAAACAGGGGAGTTTCGAGGCCACTTTTGGTTCCAGTGCGCTTCATCTGGCCTTATGGGGGAAGTAGAGTGTTTCTAACTGGCTCCTTTATTAGGTGAGAGCTGAAAATATCAAATTCGGTTTTTCCTAGACCTATTTGTTAAAGTTCATCATATTTCAAGGATTTTTCAGGAATTTAGGTTGGAAATGGCAGTTGACTGTATTCTATGTGTGCAGGTGGTCAGAGCATATACCGATGTCTCCAATGGAGGGTTGCCCCACTGTATTTCAAGTAATTTGTTGCTTGAGTCCTGGATATCATCAGGTTAATTAGTTTTTATGATCATTATCTGTAGTGCGGATGAAAAAAGTTATATTTGGAACTGAAATTCTAATTTACATTGTAATGTAGTTTTCTTGATTTTGCTAAATGCTTTTGTAGATTTTCAGATAAAATTCATGGTCAATTTTCCTATATTCTTTTATCTGATGCCTCAAAATATTATTGAATTGGTTAATAATAGAGATATAAAGACCATATTTCTTCCCATTGCTGCCTTTGAAGGTGGGGAAGAGATAGTACACAAATATGTTACCAATTTAGTTGCTTGCCAAGTCGCCAATAATTTAAGTGCAAGCAGCATGAAAAGCACCCAGCATGCTCTCAACGGTTATACGATATTCTTCTGTCCAGCCTGTTCTATATTAGAAGAGTTGGACCTGTATAAGCAACATTTAATCCTATTCTCCTGTAAAGAGCACTTTACACTATAGTTTTTATTCCTTCTCAGATTGAGTAATTGTGGAATTGGCACTGATAAATCATTGGAAGTAAATGCTGCAAGTACCTCTATGTTTTATTATAAGATCCTAATTGAGTTCTCAAGTACTCCTGCATCCTGGAGATTATCTTGGTAATGGTAAACTAAACCCGTGAAACTATAACTTCAAAATATTCATGTGCTGCTTCATGATTCATCTTGAGATTTTGTCGGTATACTGATATGACGACTTTGTAAATATTTTTTTTTCTGTTTTGAAGTATGCTGTGTACTAACCCTGGAGTAGGAGAATACATGAAGCAGAGATCCTCCTAACTTTGGTCATTTGTTTGTGGTGTTATGTAGATGCATTGTAGTCCTAACTATGAAATGCACCTGTTCCTTACTCTGAAACTGATATTCAAGCTTTATTTTTGTTTACTGGCAGTTTAAGTTTTTTGTTGATGGTGAATGGCGACATAATGAGCAGCAACCCTTTGTAAATGGTAATTGTGGTGTGGTTAACACTGTCTACATACCTAGGGAAATGGATGGGATTTCTCCAAGTCTTAGTTCTGAGGCCCCAAGTAGATCCAACATGGACCTTGATGATGTTTCTATTCATTCGGTGTGCTTCTTAAACACTTATATCTCTTTTGGGTGTTCACATTAGTCTTTTATTGAGTTGTTGTGTTAGTCCTTTTTCAAGTATTGAGTTGCTTTTTCTAAAAGAATCAGGCTGGAAGTTACTTTTATATGTTAGATTTCAGAAGCATAAGCACTCATGTCCTTTTATGGGGATCACATGTAGGAACCAGTTTCAACCATATCAGATGCAGATTTAGAGGTCTCTCGGCATCGCTTAGCCACTTTCTTGTCAAGACATACTGCATATGAGTTGCTTCCAGACTTGGGCAAGGTTTAAATGAATTACCTTTCTCTTGGAGCTGTTTATGTGGTAACTTATTGTGGGTGGTGGCTTGAGGCTGATTCTATCTGAATGCATCCGTTATTGCAGGTTATTGCCTTGGATGTTCATATAGCAGTGAAGCAAGCATTCCATATTCTGCACGAAGAGGTGAATCTCTTTTATACGCTCAATAAACATGCAGAAATGAAAAGACATGCACAGTCACTATACAAAAGGTTTTCCTACTGTTTTCTGGTTTTCGTCCAGAGAGAAGATTAACCTCGTGGTGCATGTGCTTGTTCTTTGTTATTCTAGTTCCCGTTTCTCTCCTCCTTTCTTTTGACTTTCCGCGTCTTCTTTGATGTGATATTTCCTTCACTAGTTTCTTTGTTGTATATAATGTACCTTTAGTTTTTTTTGGAAGGATTTGTTTAGATTTTTTACCCTTCACTACCGTATGCAATTTGTT